CTAAATGTTATGTCTATGAAGTACGTATGACGCTCAATAGCTCTTCACTCAAAACGGGCTTCACGAATCAATGCCACACGCTGCAAGTTTACTTCCAATATTCCTCTAGAATGAACTGCCATTTATTGTAGTGATGGAGGCTCGTGAATTACTCGTGTATCAATGTCGACTGAGGCAGTGGGTGACCTGGCTTGCTAGCAAATATCGGGAAAGTCAGCAGGCTTTGCTCGACCAAGCCAAGCGGCTCACTGGGCTTGGTCGAACAAAGCTGACCAAAGCTGAGCAAAGGACTGAGGTCCCAACTCACTTGCCCAGAAACTTTTTAAAGGAATAAAAAGAAAGTTTTTCATCACCGTCGTTATATTGGCAAACGACCGATATTTAGGCAACCGTCTATCAACAATAAGCAAACGCGTATCCAACACTTGCTTACTGTTAGTAATCTGCGAATATACGCAACAGCCTGCACACAAGCTGTAAGCTCTTTTTTTTAATATTATGTTCTGTACTTCGTCTTCCTTCTATTTTGTGTTGGAGTATACACATACTACATTGCGAGAAACTTTACATGAATAGCCTTTTACGTCAACTTGTTCCACAATATCGGAAGGGGGGATTTTTGCGCGATGGAGGGGGTTGGCGATGAAGGTGTAGATGTACGGAGTGCAATGACAGTGCGCAGAAAACCAGGTACATTAAAAGACAGTGCACGTGAATCACTGATCACGGTTACTAGCGTTGTCTGTCTGTCGTCTTTTTTTTTTGGGGGGGGGGGAGAAGGGGAATGGATTCCCAGTACTGCATCAATAAGCTCACGAATATTCCTTATAGCACAAAGTACTTATTAAATCACATTTTACTTCCCTTATAAAATGCATCGCGTTAGTTTAGAACCGTCAAACGAAACGTCAGAGAAAAACGAAAAACCCGAACGAGGAAAAGACCAATCAATCCTTGGCTCTCAAGGTGGCAACAAAGCTGCACCAGCAAAACGCACGCGCCCATTTGCATCGAAACTTGTCGGTCTCGCTCTCTCTCTCTCTCTTTAGCGACACGTACTCGCGCAACTAAACCGCTTTCCGCGAACGCAACAAGTCGCCCAGCACGACCGGTACGTCGTCGACGAAGCGTTTCTATATATACGCATACATATATATGCACTTCTCCAGTCCAATATGCATGGTCAGACCGATACAAGGCCAGCCAGTGGGCGTAGCGCTGTGCAGCTCGTTGTAATGCCCCTTCGCTCGCTCCGGGCGCTTTTTCCCTCTCTCCCTCTACAGTCTGAGACGAGTAATTTGCTTTCGGCGATTGTCCAGCATCGCTGGCCGCGTTCAAAAGGTCTACTTCCGCGGCGTTCAAAGATGTCTCGCTCTTTGTGCGCCGTCGAATTCGCTATTGTTCGTTCGGTCCATTAGGTAGCCTTTTATTCGGACAAAAGTCGTGCTTGAGCGATCGTAAATCTTCCGTCCAGGCGAATGTTATCGTGGCAAACGACGCGATTCGATGGGAATCTGGCGATGGTCGCGGGTTCGAGCCCTGCGGCATGGCGGTCTCATATCGATGAAAGGAAATGTCAAAAGCCCGTGTATACAGTACGTCGTCAGTGCGCGTTAAAGAACTCTAGACGGCTGTATGATCTCCCATAGCAGAGTACCTAGTACTCTAAATCGTTACCCGCTTTTTATAAACACACATCGAAATTCACTATGCTTTTTCCAAGGGACGGCTTTCGGCCCTTTCATAGTAGAGTACCGAGTATACTCTAAGTCGTTAACCACTTCTTCTAACACACGATCAAAATTTTCGGAGCCTTCAAGAACGGCGTCCTTTGCAATCATAATGCTTTTGGTACGTATAAAATCTGGGATGTATACTTATAAAGGTCCTGCGATATATATGAGCGATTGTAACGAAAACGTGTGAAGCATTTCAATGAGATATAAAGCCATGACGAGTATAGATAAGGGGATTAAGTTCGCGGTGGAGTTTACAGTTGAAAGAAAAAGTATAAGATGCTAAAATTGAGCTGGACTTACAGCACTGTATATGCACGCCAGTTTGTGGAGTTCTGTGTGTACTGTAGGGCTCGATTCCGGCCGTCACTAGTACTTCAGCAAGGGCTCAAAGCATGGTATACTAAAAAAAAAGTTGCCCGAATGTTGTGAACACGAAACAGAAATCGGGGTGAAGGTTGGAGTAGTTAACTACATTCTAGACGACATAAACGCTACGTCCATTTGAGAATGTGTGCAGTTGCGTGCCAGTAGCGCGTGTGGAGAGCCAGTTGCTTAATAACTTGACTATTTGAGAGAAACACCTGTTTTGATTATATTTTTGGGGGGCAGAACACCTCCCCTCTACACCAACATTCAAGTAAGGCGGGAAGGGGGGGGGGGTGCATCCATTTTAGCTACAAGCCGCTGTGTGGTATCTTTAAGACAGTACGCATTGGTATACAGTGAGCTTGCCGTCAACATTGCGACGTCACAATGTTAGACAACGCGCTTCACCGACGCCGCGTTTCTTTATGACTCATCCAAAACACGTCGGCTTCGAGACGACTATTAGCAGGTCGTCTGTGGCGTAGCACGCAACGATTGTAACGCCGGCGTCGCTCATTGCTTTTTTTCTGCGCCACGAAACCCATGCCACTTACGGCAACCTTCTTCCCGCCTCCGCCGGCGCTTCTTTTGAATCGGTGATTTTTGTTTTGTTTTCTTTCGTTTTCCGCCGCCTCCGAACAACAAAAGGACGAGTACAGAGCTAATGGAGGAGGTGCGTTCGCGCCTCTCCTGTTCTGCGGATTTCCTGCACGAGCGCCTGTGGATATCCTGACGCCATTGCACACGCGCGCTTAACGCAAAGAGAACAACGTTCGTCGTTCTCTTTGCGTTGCCCCGGCTATAGCCGTAGCAAGTGGAGCACGTTGACTTGCGAGATCACGCAACGCTTCTGTTCACGTCCGTTTGCATTTTTGTTTTCCACCGAGATTTCCGCTCTCTTGTTGCGCGGCTTGTGGTTCCCGCCTGCAAAAGGAACACTACGCTATGAATCATGTGGTGTAAACCAAACAACACAGATGTTTGGGGGAGCTGCATGCTCGAAGCGATTTGAAAAACGCTGACTCGAGAATGACGCTAGCCGACGTTTCGACGTTTCGGCAAGAAGGCTTGTCTACGTGAAGACAACACCTGACCAAGACAAGTCCACTGGTCGAAGCATTGGCTTAAGCCACAGTTCCTAACGATTTCTCATCAAGTTCATTTAGAGTCGTATGTGTTATATAGCTTACATCTATGTTTAATATTCGTCTACGCCAAAACCACAACTCATTCAAAGTTTACATCCGTGAGCGTTTCTTTTTTACTTTAGCTTCAAACGTCAACTTAGTCGGTCACAGCCTTCACATCCCTGCACTCCTCTTGCACACGTGGTGCAGCTCACGCATATTTCTTTTTTAACCACGTCACGTAGAAAGCCACACGTCAATTTCGAGGTCAACACCCGCGTCAGGATATCCGGGGTCTGTCCTGCTGAGAACGTTAAGGTCCTCAGCGTCCCGCAGTTCGCAGAGATGTCGCAATGACTGCGCAGGCACGATCTCCTTTCGCTCTACGAGCTCTTATCTCCTGATTTTATTTTCTACCCTCCCGCCTCTTCAATAACGTGTGGCGGTGCGATCAAGTGCTGAATTCTTAGAAAACAAAGATTACTTGGTATGGTTTGCCACGTATACAATATACACGTTAACTTCCTTTTGCCTTGTAACAATACTGATTGTTGGCCTAGTTGGTATTTGCGCACTGACATGCTTTGACCGCAAATAACACACACACACACACACACAAAGTAAAGAAACACTCAACGACAAGCACAAGCGGCACTTTAAGGTTAAGGTGCAACTCTCCGTAAGCGACAACTCTCTTACGGAGAGTTGTCTAAAGCAGACCGACAGACAGATGGACGGAAAGACGGACAGACAGACGGACAGACGTACGGATATACGGACGTACGGACAGACGGATCAAGTATCTTAGTCAAATGCGAACTTAATAAGTGGAAATTACACACGGCACAACCATTGAAACGTTCAGGTTTACCCTCAAGCTAAACCACTTCGTCATAGCCGGATAAAACTCTCATGCGCAGAGTGTGCCAAAATTGCGTGCCAGGCAACACCCAGATTATGGCATCCAGATTTACAAACTTAAGTGCGTTGTGACAGACGGACGAGGGCTATAGTGCGCGGCCAGGAACTCGTGCCAGGTAGTCGGCGTCCAGAATATTACGACGCGAGGCAGTCGGCCTTGCGTCTGGGCGGCGTTGAGCATTGCGACAATCCCTTTGAATGCATTTCCGGCCAGAGCTGACCGATCGTACATAAATTTGACGCAATAGACCTGTCTCGCCAACGTTATACTTGTGGGATTTTACGTCTTCGCAAAGAGTAAGCTTTACATTAAACGTAACAAACGTTTATTCGATTAACAACGGGGGCAGCCAAGCATGCCTATGCTACGTTCGCCTGGGTAGCGAAGCAAACTTGGCAGCTGAGTTTAGTAGCCAACACTGGTGACGCATTTCTTCAGTGACGCTGCTGTGGCGCCATCGCTTATTCAGGCGTGTCACGTCGGGCCATATAATGACGAGGCGGATGCAGCTATGGACAGCACCAGCGGGGTGCACGGGGGAGCTGGAACCTCCCTGCAGATTTTCGCCTGCCCCGCCCCGTTTGTCCCCCAAGAGAGAACATAGTAATAATACAATGCCTATAAGTCATAACACAATGCCACCCTCGCCCCCCGAAGGGTCTCATTTATTGTGGCTGACCCCCCCCCCCCCCTTTCTTCCGGTAAAAAAATTTTGGCGCCACCCTTGGGTGAAGGCTGCAGCGATTGATGAACATAGTGCGTCGCCACACATACTTGCTCACTTCGCAGGTGGAGGTTACGCACCTTTCTTACTTGGCAATATTTTTATTTTTCTCGTGCTCGCAGATGAAACTGGACGTGCCCACGTTCATCAATCCGGGTTTTCAAGACGACGAGAAGAAAGCCATTGAAGCCAACGGCCACACAAATGGCACCGTCGCGGTAAGTCGAAGCCATGGAGGCTCCTCCCCCGCATACTTTTCTTTCAATTTATACTGGACGTGCGCGAACACGTATTAGTCGGTCAGAGACGACGTGGGCGTATAGTTCCTCCCCTCTGCAACTCTTAACATCGACACAAAGACTTTTACTGAGCGTGAAAACAGCATCATTAAAGCTTTGCGAAGACGTAGGTTTTATGGGGGAGAGGGCAAGAGAGAACGAACTGGGAAAATATATCTCTGAAACGACTGCTAGTCCGAGTCGTCGCTGCGGGATTCCAGATGGGCCCATGGTGTCAGTGGTGAGTTCATCTGTTCGGAGCTATCCCCGCATTTTAAATGGGCTACCAGCAGTTAAAAAAGAAAGCAAAGAACACAAAGTGGCCAAAGTTAAGACGCACGTGCGGTTTTCTTTGGTGTACGAAAGAGGGTTGGACGTTTCAGCGAACTAAAAGTGTCGAGAGCTTTGGGCCATTCACCATTGCGTCGGCTGCACTAGCCAGCTATTTGACAAGCCACTTGGTCTCTCGTGTTCTCGATGTGGTGTTGGATAGTAACGTTGTGTAGAGCATGGTCATCATTGCACCTGGAAAATTGTATATGAAATGCTTATGACGATGGATGTGGCCGAGGGAACACATACACCTAACAGGTCAATGAGCAGGGCTCTGATCCTCGACGTGGAAATGTGCGTCAATGCGTATTCACTAGCATGCACGACTTACTGAGCAACCACTAAAGCGCCCAGGAATGTGCCTTGTGCGTGACTATTAGCCCGTGGGATACCAAGCTCCAGGATAGTTGTCAGAGTTGTCCGGCTCTACATGTGTGGGACATGCACCTGTTCGTAAATCACCGAATGGTGCGGGGCGTCATGCCGCATTATTCTATGCGCATGTTGTGGAAGTAAGCTTTTTTAGAGATTTACTTTTCGTGCTGCAGAACCGTTGCATGCCGACACAATCTCATTTATAAGCATATGGCATGATGAAGTGTACTGTAAGTGAGGATGTTTCGTTTGACGATTGGAATATACACCTCTGGTCGCTCTGCAGACCTTTCGGCTGGTTTTGCGTATGCGCTGCTCCGGATAATTGATAATTTATTTGAAAGTTGTCTAAGAAGCCGAAAATCAAGATGTGTATATTGCGAGGAAATCCGCGTTGGAAAACCCCAAATTTTCGCCACCGGGGGTTCTTTCATGGGCCCATATTTAGGCATTATAGATGTCCTTGTGTTGACTCCATGCCCTTCTATATATATATATATATATAGTACAAAATGATCATTATATCAGGAAGGATAGTATTTATTCCATCATAGTGCTGAAGTTCAACCTGCGTGCCATTTGCAAATTAATCTTAATCGTGACCACAGATCACTTAGCACCTTGAACCTCGGCGCTCAAACCACACAGGCGAAAAAATGGCAGTGTTATTTGGTGTTCCACGCGCAAAAAAAAATAATTCCTATGCAAACCTCAACAACGTGCGGGAATCAGAACCGAATGACGGCAGGTTTATTGAAACGAACCGCCAGCCGACCACTGCACCGCTACCACACGAGACAGCGGTCCTTGCGGGCTCATCTCGTTTCCCGGTTGGCAGCCGAAGGCCTCCGAGAACTTCGCGAAGTTTCGCAGCGGTATGTTGACCTTGATCTCGGGCGACGTCTCGCCGAATCCCAGCACCCGCTTGGCGTACGCCAGGCTCCGGTGATCACACTGGCTGAGCGCGTAGTACACGAAGAAGATCTGCTCCAGCGTGAAGCCCCCAAACGGCGCCCTGGTCCTGCGCGCCGTCATGGTATCCATGCCCAGCAGGCTGAGGTAGTAGTCGTAGAGCGGGGCCACGGCCGCATTGTCGGCGATGTCGTCCGCCAGGTCGCCCACCATGTCCAGGTCCGGAAGCTTGAGCTGCATCTCCTCCTTGTACTGCTTGAAGAAGCAGTCCCGGATGTGGGCGTACTTTTCGGCGGTAGCCTTGCTCCACCAGTCGATGATCCTGGCACGGTATTCAAAAGACGATTTTGATTTACAGACTTGACAGGTAACGCTACTGAATACTCTGTGCGGGTGCTCAGCGGCTATTACGAGCAGATTCTCTCGCATCGCGCCAAGAGTTGGATATTCAGTCGCCTACCTAAGCCAAGTTCCTCACCTGGCCATCTTACGACGATGCTTCTCGAATTAAAGCGTTACTTTGAGAAGCTCCAACAACGCATATCGAGCAAAACGCACGTAATGCGAGATATGTCAACATGCCAAAAAATAGTTAATTTCTAAGCCTGGCTTTCGTGTTGGTCCTGATGGCAGTTTCAAGTGGTCTGTGCTACACATGACCTCAATCCTGTTTGCATATCTGCGAAGATTTAGTCCAGTTTTATTTTTCACCTATAGTGATTCCCACGTTTTTGTTGGTCATTTATCGAGATATTGCGCGTATAAAAGAACGTGTATCCACTTGTTATTATAACCTGTATTAGAAACATTAGAATAATTAGTGAACCGGATACATAAATGCTTTATGGTGCGTATAAGCGTTTTTTCTACATTTGAAGTGTAAGGTAACGCAAGCAATATTTATATTTGTGCACCACCCCATACATACACTATGAACGTAAGTATGAATAGTCGAGCCTCAATACAAACCTATTTCGGTGGTCTATCGAAGCTCCCCTATCGTCCACTGCGTAGAACAGTCCCTTGAGCAAGAACTGCGCCACGATTGGCACAAACAGGGGTTCCAAACTGTTCGACATTCCCCTCAAGAAGGCCACCACGACGTACGGCATGAACAGCTTGTTCTTTCCGTGCACGTACTCGATGTCCGGGTGCAGACTGCTCACGTGGTGGCGGTTGTCCAAGTCCATGGTCCGGTGCCAAGGGTCGAAGTACGTCCGCTTGGTGTTCGCCTGGATGGCGTAGAAGCTCTGCAGCAACTTTAAGCCATCGAACGGTGGTGCCTTGGGGTCGTAGTACAGCGCCGGAATGCTCAGATCGCGAACGGCGTTGCCCATGAAGTCAAAGTTGACGTTCAGTATCTTCTCCTTGGCGATGACCCGTTCCACGGGATTGAGCCAGTACGCGTTCTGAACCAAGTTGGCCATCAGGTTCTGCGTGTGGTTGAACATGTGCTCCACCTGATTGTCCAGTGCGGTCGAGTACTTGAGCGGGTTGTCGCCGCCCAGCGTCATGAGGGTGAACATGCGCATGCCAAACGGGAACAGGTCTTCTAGAAGGTGGACGCACGCCTGGAAGCGTTCTCCGACGCCCACGACGAGTTTTTCACGGCTGAGTGGCACGAGGAACTCGGCTTCGTCCGGCAGCATCGCAGACAGGTGAACCATGGTCCTGTAGCCGATGTAGTTGGCCAGCGTCGTGTAAGACGTGTTGTCCATGATGTCCGCCACGTCGGTCAGGTACTCCGGGGCCATCGCGTCCACGACATCCACCTTGTTGAGCGGGTACCGGAAGATGACGTCCACGTAGTCTCTCCAGCTCCACTTCTGGCTCCTGGGGCAAGCTCGCCAGAGACCTCTTGCGGGCGAGTGGTGGTACAAACGTCTTCATTTCCACGGCTTCTTCCAGCCTCATTTCAAGAATTACGATGTTCTCGGCGAGCAGATCGACGTTCTCCATCACGTTGAGGATGCTCAGGGCCCTGGCCACAACCTGGCTGTAGTTGAACAGGTTCTCGTTGGTGTACCGCAGCTGGTGGCGGCGTAGTATCGTCCTGGGAACATCCAGCTGCACGGAGTAGTCGCGGGCGTACTCGCTCACCACTCTCACCTCAGTGAACGGGAAGATTCCCAGCGTGCCGTCGACGAACCCCGCGGTACCGGACACGTTCCATTCAGGCGAGACGTTCGGAAACGGCCATCCCTGGAGACCCAGCTTGCCGAGGAGCTCCTGCCAGGGGTCCCAGCCCATGCCATTACGACTGTAGATGGAGGTGCAGTTCGGTATGAAGAACAGAGCTTGGCTGATGAAGCTCCCGGGGAATTCGTAGTAGGTCTTCTGCTTCAGCTCGAAGTACTGCTTGAGCGTCTTCGGCAGGTCGTACATAAGTTTAGCCGTTGTCTGAGACCTGTAGGGCGCGTCGTCCGGCTGTTGACGAGAACCAAAGAAGGTCCGTGAATGAAACCAACAGCTGGAAATTGGGAAAACTTGCTCACGACGTAGTTTCCTGAAATTCATTGTGCAGGCGGGAAAAACGACCCAGCTTTCTAACCAAAGCAAACGATGCCCAAGGTTTGCGATATCGGCTAGACTACTGAAAACATGAATTAAGTTGGGAAAGCAGCGCTGTTTAGTTTGGAATTGAACAAATTTAACACGCTGACAGCCCTAAGTATCGTGTATAAGAGACCATTTCACTTAAACAAACTTCTTTAAAACCGCGCTAGAGCAGCAGTGGGGCACAAACTAGACGGCCTCGTTGAAGCTCAATTGTCATTTTCATTACCCGTAATAACCTCTAGAGTTCACTTATTTCTTTTTGCGCATGCGTCTCATGTGAATTGAAACCAAATGTTCTTGATCTCGATTTCACTATAGTAGAAACAAAGTGGAATAATTAGGCCCCATCAACGCAGGAATTTGCTGAACGAAGATTTCGTGGGTTCGCGACAGTCTGCCAAAGCAAGGTATCTTGTACAGTGACTTCTTACACATTTTTTTTGCGATTCCCCACTCTGCAATTGGGCAGCTATCTGGGGTACCACCAGGATCTTTTTTTTTTCTGTATATACTGGTGGGAGAGGGGCGCCCATGACAAATGAGTTCCTTCGGGGGAAAGATTGGATTGGATTGGATAAACTTTTATTTGGTCCTCCAAAACACAGATCACTGTGTTGCGGGCAGCTCCCACGTGGGGACTGAGATGCCGAGCTAGCCGAAAACTTATTACGCGGTGTGTTGTGGCTCCTAAAAAAAAGGGGGGGAGGTGTTGCGCCATTATTGCTGCTAGCAGTTACACGACGCAGTACTATACCTTGGCGTTTCGCACGGCCCAGCTTCGCGAGCAGACGAAGGCGTAGAAGTTCTCGCACGGTTCCTGCTGCTGGTCTAGCCTCGCGTGCACGTATGCATCCTGGCGTTCACAGACCTCACGACTGCACACTAAGCTCGGTCGGGAACGCCCGTGGTGGCGGGCCCCGTCCGGCGACTGTGGGTACCAGTCGTCCCTGATCACGGGCGCCATGGCAGCAGCAGCAGCAGCGACAGGAAGCAGTGGTGGCGGGGGTGGCGGCAGCGCGTCGGGTGATGGTACGCTGTTGGGCGAGGCCCTTTGTGCTACCCCGTATCTCTAGAAGCCTCGGCTGTTTGGGCGACGTCCGATTCCTGGGAGGTTCAATAACTCCTTTGCGTGGCAAGTTGACTGTCGTCCGCAAGCATCGCTTCAACTGTTGCATGCGCGCACTGGGTGACAAAGAGCGTCGAACCTCTCTGCTTCAGACACGTCAAAGCACGGCAAGTGAAAAAAAAAGTTCCCGTGAATGTAGAGGTGAAGCTATCACATTGTCGCTAGGAACATCGTCAGTCCGGTTCCATAAGGTTCATAAATGTTCTTCGATAAGTCAGGCCTTTTAGAAAAAACTATTGCCACTCTGCAAACATCATCAAAAGCGAATACTGTTCTTCTGCATCGGCTGAACTCAAAAAACAAAAACAAAAGCAGAATGCTCCAAGGAAGATGGAGTCTTCCTATAATCAACACGGCATAGGCAAAATAAGCAAGTCGTAGACTGGGAGCCGTTTCGACTTGCGCCGTACTCCTATAGCTAGACACCGTCCTGAAGCTCTTTTAAAGTGCGCAAGGGTACGAGCAAATTATGCACCGCCGGTATCTACAAAGGCTATAAGCTTGTCTGTTTCTGTACGATGCGCCGCCATGTACGATGCAACATACAGATCGACGCTAGGCGCGTCTACATCAGTGACTCGGACACCGGTAGACCGAATGAATCCCCCTAGCTTTATTCGACCACCCCGTATATAGAGCGCATGGTGCATGGCAACCTCTACAACTTCAGTCCTTTTTTTTTTGCCCTCACCCACTAACGGGGGCGCACCAACTTCTGCAACAACGAAGACCGCTAAATCCGAGGTACTGTTGACATGGGGCTAGTTGTCTATACTTCTGTGACTGCAACTACGTGCGACCATCAACCGGCGGTCAAGGACCGTTATAAGCGGACATTGCTTCATCCTTGTTGAACTGGTACAGTCGAAAATCCCAAGCTAAGGACTGGAGCAAACCATGTATCGATCACAGGCTCCGCTGCAATTCAACAGATTACGCAGATGTACCATCGCCTACAAAAAAAAAAAAAAACGGGACCTGCGCCTAGAAGCTCACCATGCTCTGGATTGGGCAGGGTCTTCCTGGTTCGCCTTGGAGAGCTTGTGTAGGGCGACGGCGGTGACCAGGCCGAGCGTCATCAAGGTCGCCAAGGCCGCCGCGCGGCCAGTAGAACACCGTACATTGGCCATGGAGCCGGGTTGCGCGGCTGCACGCTGCTACGGTGGCTGTCTTCTTCTGACCGCTTGTGCGCCACGTGCAGTGGGGCCGCGCTCCGCTCCCGCTGCTTCGTCTTCCTCTTCATCCCGACTCTCGCGTTGCATGTGTGCGTCTAAATACGAAGGCAAACATAAAACACATCGAACGGCGTGTTAGTCATACTGTTATAGAGTGCGTAAAATACGCAAATGAAAGAGCAAAATTAAAGGAAGAAACTAGCAAGTTTGGAGAAGGTGGCTCTTCACATTAAAGAAATTAGAATATGGCCTCAAATGCATTTTCATAAGAAGGCGAACAGCTTCCTTCTTAGCGGACGCTGGACTTGGATAAGCGCTGTGATATACAGGTGCTGGTGACATATGGAATGATGTGTTAGTACATATACTAGGGGCAGAAATGGGTGTGCGTATAAATGCTTTATTGCAGTTTGAACGGCTGCAACAAAACTGTACACTGCCATGCTATTTAAACTTGTTTCAGTGTGTTGTTTTGGCTTTTATCTCATCGTTCATTTTGGATAACCTTCGTTATTTTTTCACGGCAGAACTTATCTATATGAAGTAGTTGAGATAATACGAACATCGACGGCAAGACAGTTACAACAAAACATAAAAAAACAGCGTATTGCATAAGCTCCAGAAACGTGGCGCACCGACCACCAGTACAAGTAACCGGGACGGGGCATATTTTTTTTAAATATGAATATATTATCGTCGTTGTAATTGTTATCGTGGTTGTGTGATGAAAATTTAGTTTTACATTTCGGTGTAATTGTTGATGGTGATTTGAGATGATTGGTGGTGGCTCGGTAACACCCTTACTCATTGAGAAAGCTTTCCTTCACTTTTGGCCAAAAGGTGCGCACAAAGAGAAGTGTTAAGGAAACTTAACTAACGTCTAAAGATCACATGACGTAATCTGATTGAATTGAGCATTCGCCAAGTCCTTCGACGGAGCTTGTGTCAGCAAGGGACAGCTTACTGCTCTCCCATAGTTGAGCACCGAGTACTCAAAATCGTTAAACATTTTTTTTCTAAACAAACACAGCTTCCCTGTCACCGTCCCAATTACTGGTAGTAGGGAATTAGGGACGTTTCACCGCTTTCCCATAGTTGAGTACGAAGCACTGAAAATCGTTAAACTTTTTTTTTCTAAACAGATTGTGAGAGACGACTTACTGCTCTCCCATAGTTGAGTACTGAGTACTCAAAATTGTTAAACATTTTTTTTTCTAAACACACGATGGCACACACGTTTCTTCAATGTAAGAGTGGGACAGCTGAAGTTTTCAGTTGTTCCGTACTAGCCATGCGCCCACTCTAGCGCGCATGCGTAAGTGTCATCCTGTAAAATGTGATTAACTTGATTCATTTTAATTTTCCTTTGACTTGTAACATTTGGATACCCAGTGATCAATTAGATTTTGATGCTAATTTGTAAGATGTATACACTGTCTTTACTGGTTTTCGGTGTTTCGTTTGTGTATGTACAAGTGTACAATAAACTTCCCTTTCTCATTCTACCGGGACAGCTTAAAGCTCTCTCATTGTAGAGTACACAGTATACTCTAAATCATCGAATGCTTCTTATAAACACATTTAGAGATGGCCCCCTCCTCTATATTACTATATGTATCATAAAAGATTGTTCCAACACGCGTCAGTATGCATGCATCGTATAAGGTTGGAATTTGGGACGGCTATATTCACCCACAGTATAGCACGTAATACTTAGAATTTTGCACAAAAATATTGGCAGCGTATCAGCGTGCTTTGTTGTAAATGTGGTCAAAAGCACAACGCGGAAGTTAAGAGGCATCAAGGAACACCAACTCGGGAACATGACCCTAGCTTTATTCATTCCCCGCGTCATGTATTAATATCCATACCTTGACATCGCCAAGACCCGAAAATCGAAGCTCGAGACTCTGCTTCGTCAAATTTCTTGCACGATACTGGGTACCGCTCATTACGCAAAGTCTGATAGGGTTCAAGGAACTGCGATCCTGCCAAACCTCGACAACTTTGCCCAAATTCACCGCGAAGCACAATGCACGCGCCTCAGACGTTCCACACAAGGATACGCTTTGCTTACGACATATGTCCACCTGTCGCATTTGAAGAAACCCGGCCCCCATGAGTGACGCTCGACCAGGTCACCACCAAACCATCACAGAGGCACATGGATCGAGATACCCAAGCAGGACGACGTGAATCACGAGTGCAACACCTCCAATAATCCACAGGAGGGTGGATCTATCTATCTATCTATCTATCTATCTATCTATCTATCTATCTATCTATCTATCTATCTATCTATCTATCTATCTATCTATCTATCTATCTATCTATCTATCTATCTATCTATCTAATCTATCCGCCTACGACTTTTAGCTCTCCTGGCCGTTTCGATAATGGTATCGATACCAAACTTGGTGTGACATAACATGACTGTATTAAGAACGTATTTGACTAGTCATAACATGAAAATCATGACATGTCATGAATGTCATGATTTACATTTAGTGGTCCTGCAGCTCCGTCTCATACCGGCGAGGGCTTTCGAACGGGAATAGC